TGAACGCGGACGAAATTCTAAGATCGAAGAGGATTCGGTGAAAGAAAGCTATAAGAATGGAAGGGGTTGTTGCTGCCACGAATCTCCTAATAACGTCAACAAAGTTTATAAATATACATATAATACGGTCTTTTTTTTTCTTCATCCTTAGTTTTGAACCTATTTGCCCCTGCATTAGGCTGGCTCAACCCAGTCCCAATGATTTCCTATTAATTTAGTAACTTTGTCCGAGAGTCGATTAAAATATTACCGTATTTCGCTGCGATTTTTTTTTCACAGGATTAAATCGCTAATTTTTTTTTTATATCATGCCGGGCTTTGTCAGGTCAGCATTTGAGTATCTTAGCTAATTTCTTTTTGAACCATTTCAGCCAGGATTGTATTACCCCATTCACGTTTTTAAATGATTTGCACTTTTATAACTTTTTTGCCTATAAATTTCACTAAAGTATTTAAGGCATCATTTTTCGATACTAATGAAAAATCTATTTATTTTTTTTTAATTTGTAACGTTCGTTTACTCTCTTTTTAGACGTCAAAACCCTTCAAAAAATCTCCTTCCTCCTCAAATTTTGAGCTTATTCTTCCGTTCCACCAACCGGACCTTCAAATGTGTCATTACAACGACCTTAGCCCCGAGGACCTGGCTGGCCTTCAAAGATTGGCCCTCATAGAGTTGACCATCATTTTTGATCGACACCGTTTACGCGTGTCTCACATCTCCGCCCACAAGCTGAAAGCGTTGAGGAGGAAAGAGAGGCAAGACAGGCTCAAATCCTCCAATAAGTGTCACATCGAATCTCCCTGCTGTTATCGCGATGATCAAGCTGAACGCGAAAATCAAAATAATAGAGATATTTATTCCGTGGCTGAAGCTCGGTTAAAACAGGGGGGTTTTAATGGCGGGCGACCTAATAATGGCACAAACCAGCCTCCCCTCGCGTATTCCAGTATACCGGCCGATGGCGGGATCAATAATGGCACCATGTTTCAATCTTATTTCGACAACGTGGGGTGTTGCCTGGAGGAAATCGTGGCCAAGGAAAGGAAGTTCGCACCATTGACGACCGTACCTTCCTTATTCGAATCGGTAATATATTTCGCCATTTTCTTTATATAAATGAGAAAAAGATGCATTAAAATGGAAATAAAAATTAACCATTTAAATGATACAAAAATAATCTTTCTTTAACCGGAAACACGTGATTATGATATGGCATTTCAAGATGATACGGTATTTGGAACAAAATGGAACCAAAGAGGAAGGCATATTCCGAGTGCCTGGCTCATTGCATCGAATAAAGGTTACCTTTCATTTAAAATTTTTATTGTATCATTTTGCACTTGTAAAGTGTCATTTAAAACTTTTTAAAAGGATCATTTGACAAACACCGAGGACTAGGAGGGTTAAATCTTATATACAAGATACGATTTCGGGTTTAGATTAATTTACAAGTCGCCATTTTAATAGGGATAGCCACGTGGGGGCCTTTTATTTTACCTCATCTGCCCAATTATAATCCCCTTTTTTCTCATTGGTTCTCCAAACTCTCGGTAGACGTCCATCAAAAAAATAATGTTCTATCGAATCAAATCGGCCAAAATAAATAATAGGTTTTTTTTTTCTAACCCTGTAAAATTGTTGGGAGGGTGGGGTGAGAGATAGACGGGGTTGTACTGGTCGGGATTTAACCGATTAATTTTTAGAACTAGCGGACTGGCACGACATTTTTAAACCAAAGGGGGGCGAACAGGGCGCGAGAATTCTCTTTCGACAAAACCATCGGTGGGTGTGCTCTTTGACGAGCTACAGCTGGCTCATCGCGGATCGCTAGCGTGAGTTTGTAATTTATGTGATTAACTTGAAAAGAGTTTTCCAAACGTTGCCAGTCTTATAATAAGAGATCTTCAAACGGGTTTCGGCCCAGGTCTAATATTTTTTAAAAAAAATTCGGACCGGGTGTGGTAGAGACTTTAGAAATTTTTTTAAATATATCTTAAATTTATCAATTTTATGTTTGAATTTTATTTATTGTATAAAAATAAAAAAAATATGTTATTTTATTTATAGAAACTTAGACGCCATAAGACACACATATCTTCTATTTTTAATAATTATTAATATTTTAAAACAATTTTAATTTCTATATTTAAAATAAATTTCGGGTTCGGGCCGGGCCGGTAAAACCTTTTTAAAAAAATTTCGGGCCGGGCCGGTTCGGGCTCGAATAATTACCGTTGCAGATCACTAATTCATAATACCTCTCTTTTTTCTTTTTCTTTTTAAAAAAAAAATTCTTTCAATTTTATATAATATTTTATTTTATTTTTTACCCTCGTTCCACATTTTATTTTAGTTTTAAATTTTGCGATACAAAGAAAGTTAAAGAGAGAAAATGAAAATTTAAACGAGATTATTTATTTTTTCCGATATTTCGCACGCGAAACGAAATTAAATTCGATAATCGCGTTAATTAAAAATAATTCTTTAAAAAAGGAAGATTAGAAACGGATTTGTGACGAGAAAGATATTTTACATTTTCTTTCTTTCTTTCATTAATTTTATTTATCGCTTTTCTTGTCTTCCTAGTGAAATTCGAAATATCAAAAAAAAAGAGTAATTTAAAACCATCCGAATAGGAGATTTTCATCGAAGATGGCAGACAGGAAGGTTTGGGAAAACTCAATTACGAATCGCGCCTTTTTTAGCGAAACCTAATAATCGAATTTCTATTATAAATTATATAATATAAAAATAACTTGTCTAAATAATTTTAATCCTCCACAGATACTTTTTTATGTAGCTCTATCCTAAGGTCGGCTTAATTCGAATACATATATTTGCTTTTTTTTGTATAAGCCTTGAAAAAGGTTGAATATTTTTCGCTTTTTTTCCCCACCTTTTTCTTCTTGATTTGGGTTTTGAAAGGATCTATTCTGTTTTTTTAAAGATTAAAACACGTGATAAATTTTTTTATTCTTATATCCGCGAATAAAAATTATTTTTTTTTGTACTGGCACCATTGTTAAACGTATTTTTTTAACAAAAAAATAAATATATTTCGAACCTGCGCGTAATTTCGGTTTTTATTCCTTCTTCCGGTTTATTTAATGCGAACTCCTTGTATTTCGGGAAAATATGCTTACTCGGGTTTTCAAATCCGGCCCGGTTTTTAAAGATTATATTATTTTACGATCAACTTCGGGTTCAGATATTTGTATCTATATAAAATGGGAGTAAAATTACTTTCTTAAAAGAGAAATCGACTGTTTATTTTGATTATTGATTTCCCTCAATTTCTTGTTTCATCCTAAAAATTCAAAATCATAAAAAAAAAGAGGAAAAATTGAAAAATTCAAAGGTTAAAAGCGGAAAAGAAACGAAGAGATATATGATATGGTTCATTATCTTGTTAATTTTTCTTTTCGCTTCGTAAAATGATTATGATATAAAACTAACAATAAAAAAAAATGCAAACATTTCCGTGAAAAAAGCGCTGAATGTAATTTTATCTTTTGATTTCTTTCTTTTTTTTCATTTCTTCTTTCTATTTTTTTAAAATTTTTTATTCCACTTTCATATTTAATTTCATTTTCTACGATCGTTAAAAAAAAATATTAAAATAGCAATATCTTTATGTGAGGTAAATGTAATTCATCGCATATTATATTATGATATAGAAATTTTTTATAAAAAAAAATTTTAAATAGTATTATTAACCCCATTAAATTAAATTTTAATTTTTTAATAAATTTTTTATATTTTTTTTGAAGTATCAAAGTAATTATTTTATTTTTATAACACCTCTTTATTTAAAAAATAATTAATTTTTTTTTAATTATGATTGGCAAATCTTTTTTGTTCTTTTTGACTTTCTCTTTTATTTCTTTTTTTTTTCCATTTTATTATTTCTTACCCTTTTTCTTTTTTGATTTTCTTTTTATATTTTTTATCTTTTTTTTTCTTTATCTTTCTTTTTTTCTTTCTATAATATGAAATTTAAATCTCCTGGTTCGCCTTATTATTTAAACTTAATTCTGTTTTAGCCTGAGGCGTAGCGGATTTCGTGTTAGGACACCCCAGCAAAAACGCGTATTCCTTTTGCCTAAATCTAATGGCCTCTTTTTTTTGTCTGTTCAAGTGGAAGTTATAATAAGCGGCCGAACAGATGATTATTTAGAAATAACTCGAACCGGGATCACGTGCCCAAACGCATTTTTGTTTGTTACTTCTTCTAAAATCTCTAACCCCCTTAGGCCAGATTAAAACTAAGCGCGAAATCTCCCATGTTTTTCGATCAAAACATATATTTGGCGCGAATCCCACGCAATTTTATAAAACCTAACATATTTGTTTTTACAGCATAAGAATTTATATTTAGTTAACTTAAAGTTTTCTTTAAAAATTTTGCATCTCAAAATCCATGTGTTCCCTCGCCAAAAAAAAATTAACTTGATTTTGCCTGACTTAAATACTTAACCTTTTAGCCGTTTAAGCCAATTTTTTTTAGCCGAAAACTATCATTTTGTCCTCGGGGGTTTTTCCACTGATATAAAATTAAAACGCCTCACTGTTAGCGGATTTTCTCCGGGAAGCGCCCGAAGTTTTAGCCGACATTTAGCCATTACCCGCGATGTACTGCATTCGTGAATATCCTAATAAAATAATAGTTAAAGTTGTGTTTAAAATGAAGCAAAATTTAAATATATTTTTTATATCTTAATAAAAAATAAATTCTTTATTTTTTATTTATAAATTTAAAAATCAAAAACATGAAAAAACTTTTGTCTTTTCGCGTCTTTCATTTTTCGTCTAAATGATTCGAATATATATATTTTTTATATATGAACCGGAATCATTTATTTTCTTTGTAATGTCGGTAAATAGTAGTAAGTAATAGTACACCTTAAAGACAAACATACTTATAGATAAAGTGTGTCATTTACATTAATACATTAATATATCAATCCTTTTTTTTTGTTATCTTCTTTTATACTCTCGGTAATGATACACCTAAACGCGCTTATAAAAATGGATATTTTCTAAATTAATGTACCATCAGTACCCCGTTCCGTTCTATACCATTTTTATTTTGTTATTATTTTAAACTTTACCCTTTTTTTTAGCATAAAAGAGAGGGGAGTGGGGTTGGAAGAAAGGAAAAATTAATGTAGTTTGATGAATTTTATTTTTTATGTAATCAAAGTCTAAAAAAAACAAAGTAATTGTAATTATTTATAATATTAATCAAATCACATTGTTATAACGGCGGTATTTGCTTAGAGTATTAATATGGGGAAAATTGTAGTTTTTTAAAAAAAAAAAATAAAAAACACAAAAAAAAACAGTAATTTATTTATTAAAAAATCATTATTTAAATTATTTTTTATAATAGATTACAATATTTTATTTTCCATATTATTTATCGGTTTTACGTTTCAAAAAAACTAAACTTGAGCCACATTTATAGTAAACGCGTTGTCTTCGAGCGTTGCGTTATTTAACGCGGTGTTTTATATCAGCTGATTCAGTTTTTTAAAAAACTTATTTAAAAGATAAAGCTAAAATAGGGATAATTTTATATAATATATATATTCAAAAAAAATACCTTTTTATCTAATTTCTCTCTTATTTTTTTTTATAATCGTATCGCAAACCCATTGCAACATATGTTTTTTCAAATTTTATCGTAGCGTTATCATCATGACGCTCCAAGAATTTATACCCATATTTATTGGCTTAATTTTTTTGTTAACAACGCTGAGTTAAATAACCGCGACGCTTGAAAATAACGCGTTTACTATGAGTGTGGCCCTAGTTACCCTTTTCCGTTCTCGTTCCATAATTTCCCCTCACTCCATGAGTAAATATTTCGGCGCGGTTCAACAAATTCTTAAGTTCACTAACTAACATTTTTCGATAGCTTGGGCCTTGTTATCTTTTTTTTTGCTCTGGCATTTTTCTTTTCCTGTTACGATGTGGTGACGAAGGAATAAGAAAATTAAATTGATTGATGGATTTGAAAAAAAAAGATGTAGTAAGTAGTAACTGACTCTTAGACTAAGGCCATATCCGAGATCAGATCTTTCTAGCGTTTGAAAAATTTAGCATTTTTGTAGGTTTTATATATTAAAATTAAAAAAATTGCAAATTATTAATACGGTAAAACTTGTCTAATTTGGGCTCCTGGTAATTCGAGTAACTCCCTAATTTGATCAAAATGTTGAGTTCCAATAGAATCCTTGCTACAAATAACTATGCATTATAAAATATACTTTGATAAATTGAACTTTTCTTAGTTGGACAAAAATCTTGGTCCCTTAGATAAGATTTACTGTATATAGTCATAACATAATATTATATAAGGGTAGTGAAATATTATATATATATATATTAGAGATATGCAAAAGTAGGTTCGGGTCGGACCTATTATTTTTTTAAAAATCCGGCCGGGTCGGGTCGGCTAAACTTTTTTAAAAAAAATTTGGGCCGGGCTTCAAAAACCGGTGCCGATTACCAATATATATATAAATAACATATTACTTTATGATCATAATATTAAAGATTATTCGGAATTATTAGCAAATTAGTAAGCAGACGATAAAGTAAGCAGACGATTAAAAAAAAAATTTTTTTTAAATCTGCCCATATTTTTTTGGAGGCGTTATTTTTGTAATGCGCGATTTTCGGTTTGTTATTTTTTTTTTACATTATGCTCTTAAAACTCTTTAAATATATGACTTAAGACTTATTTTAATAATTATAACTATCCATTGAGCCTAAATTTAGAATGCCTCTTAAGAATCGTAGGTGGTTGAGACCCTGGGGCGAGCTGGGCTTCGTCTACATGACAGGATATTCACTGGAAGCAACCCCAAAAAACCTATAACTACCCCCCCCCCCAGGTTAATTAATAGAAAAGTCTAGTTTGACCGTTAGTTAGACCTCCAGAAAGATAGCAACCCATTGGGACTGGCAAGCAGGTGGGTAACCGAACAAATTGCTAACCTTAAATTCATGAAAGCACAAAATAATATGAAACTAAATGATTATTGTGTCTAATGTATTTAGTAAGAATGATGTGATACCGATACGGAAGCCTGGCGGAAATAGCGACCCGAACAAGGTCATCAGAGACATACATAGAGGGTAATGTAGTGAGAGTTATGGGGAGCCATATCCTCTATAATTCCGGAAGTAATGATGGTTCTGATAAGAAAAAAGCAGTGAAAATTTCCTGAAGAGATCGACTACTCGCGTGCCGTTATCCGTTATCGGCCATATCTTTCGTACCATGTGTATTCCAAATAATTTCGTAGACTTCATTACCATAGCGCTACCGAACATATTGTGCCCGATATGCGAATTGAAATCGCCGGCTACAACATGCGGACGCTTGTCTGCCCTTTAGTTTAGACAGTGAATTATAAAATTCATTCTTATCACTCTCTGAGTCATTAATAGGGGCATGCACAGAGTATAGCTTGACCAGCGACCCAAAATGACTTACCGCTCTACTTGCTACGCGTGGTGAAACGGGAATGGACGTCACTTCCTCCTCCTTACGCTTCTCCACAAGAAAACCAACGCCTTCTTTCCTACCAGCACCATCATTACTTCCGGAATTATAGAGGATATGGCTCCCCATATCTCTGACTACATTGCCCTCTATGTATGTCTCTTGCGGACATAAGACGATCACGCCCTGGCGCTGCACCTTGAAAACTGAGTCAAGAAGACGTTGGGGGTCATTTACCCCTCTCACGCTCTAAGAACTTAATTTCAGCACGGCCTTGTTCGGGCCGCAACTTTCGCCAGGCTTCCGTATCTGTATCACATTATTCTTACGTAATATATTAGAGACAATAATCTTATTTGGTTTCATTATATTTTTGTGATTTCATGAATTTTGGAGGTTAGCAGTTTGTTCGGTCCGCTTCCTTTCTCGCGGTCTAACTAACCCAAAAAACTAGACCTCGCCATCCTTTTTTTTAAAAAAATTATGATGGCACTACTCCCTTTATTTATATACTTACTAACTATCAAAAAAATTGTGAATGTTATTGAGTTATTATTATTTAGATCATGAATTATATTTTAAAAAGAAAAACCTTCCGCATTTAACAATGAACGCATTATTATAGTATATATTTATTGTTTGGTGAATATGAGTTATGCTGGTAGGAATGTCTCAAAAAAAGATGGCTGAAATTTATCCAGAAAATAAATTTTTATCCGAATTTGATTTGGTTTATGTTTAAAACAATATCATTTTATTTATAATAAGTCTTTTAATTAAAAAGTACTAAATAACTTCGCACAACAAATATTTTTATTTTCCCTTAAAAATTTAATAGATAACCCCCCCCCCCCCAACTAAATAAATTTATTCTACGTCCTAGCTTACCCTCTTAAACCCCCCTTAAATTTGGAATTTATCTACTCTTGGGATAAGTTTACCGGTGATGACAAGTGTTAGATATATATATTTAAATTAAGAGTCACATGATTCATTATTTTATCCAATTTACCCGTATAATATCGATGATGAGTTATTGAATGTTCATTATTTATTTATTTTCTTTGCAATATAGAAAATCGACAGTTTCCTGTTTAAAACAAAATATACAGTAAAACATCGTTTACCTTTATAAACGTTGCCGCGTTATAACACGCTTCCGCTTTTAGAATTTTTATAGGAAATATTCTTGTTCCCCTTCCTGAGAAATGTTTTAGCGGATTATTTTTTTTTAGGGGCTACCTCTTCAAAGCCAATTTACTCTTTTTTTACGCAGAAATGTAATAAGGTATAATTTTGAGGTCTGCGACGGACGGGTTAAAAACCGAACGCCCGACCGCGTATTGTTTGAAAAAAATTTGACCCTCCCGCTGACCCGCTCAGTGTTTCAGGTTTTCTAGCCTGCTCGCACATTCTGCTGGCGTGAGCCTGCTAAACACAAGCCCATCGCAGTAACTTATAAAAACTGCGCGCGTACCAAAAGGATTGGACACGAGGTTAAGATAAAATAATATTACTTAAATGATTTGGCATTCATTTTATCAGGAATTCTCCGAGAAATATTGGCCATTTATATGCCCGTCAGATTCCGGATTTAAATCCCTTCCATATTCCTCAATTTAACGTTTGATAATTTTCCCAACCCGATTCGACTTTTTAAATAATGTTTCTCGGGAATTTTATATTAAACGATTTCGCGGGGAAAATCGAAAATTGAGAGAAGCGAATGCCTCTTCTAAATGATGACCTTTTATAATTCCGGGTCGAATCACTACCTATTCGAATTGCGGTCGGGCCGGTTTCTTTTTAAAACCGAGTCCTTGACTCTTTATATCGTGCGTGGATACAATAAAAATGCAATATACACTCAATTTATTATAGAGCTTGATAAAAGCCATCAACGATAATCGCCAAATCGATTTCTCCCAATTTTTCCGGCTAAACAACTCGGCGGCCAACGATATAGCGGCTTTGCTGAAAATGTACTTGAGAGAATTACCCGAACCTTTACTCACCAGGAAACACGTCCTCAATTTCTCCCAGATATCCAGTTTAGTTTTTATATTTAAACAAACGTATTCCAATCGTTGCGGGAAAGCTTATAAGAACTGTATTATTTACTGTAAACTTTTACCAACCACCATATAATACCACTTACGTACCTAAGATTCATTCATTTAAATGCTTATCAAAATTTAAATCAGCTGGCGACGCCATTTTGGGTTATCTTATAAAAAATAGATTTTTATCGGAAAAAAATTATTTCGAAGACGGGCCGGGTAAGTTGGGTTAAACGTTTTTTGGGTTAGGCCGGAAATAACATGCGCAAAATATCTTTTACTGTTCGGTCTTTCTTCTTCGTAAATAATTATTACCAGCCGGTCGGACAAATTCTAAAAAAATGTTTTAGGGGCCAGATCTTTTTATAATCTTCACTTGCTTCGGACGACCTTTAGTATAGATGGCTTTTTAAAAAAATCGGAAAATACCCCTAATTCGTTTAAGATAATGAAATCATTCATTCACTTATAAAAGCGGGTCGGGGGGGGGGGGGGGGGGGATTATTTTCTTGTATATGTTCTCATTACATGTGTTTGAACTTCAGTGACAGTTTTAGATTTTCCGGTACACTTCCCTTTAGACGCTGCAACTTAGAACGGTACTAAATTGAAAGCCTTTTAAACGCGGCGTTTAATGAAACGTAACATGGTTGATTAATACTTCACTCCATCATCTACCACTTTACTCCCGGATGTTTAAATGTTTTAAAAATTTGCTGTTTTTGATCCGAGTTCCTGAAAGAAAAATTTAGACATTTTCTAAAAAGGAATTGAAAAATTGTTAAAATTTCTAATTAAATATAGTATTCTGACATTACCTTTTAACGCGTCATTTTCTAAACTTCAAAATTGTATCAAAATTTTGAAGTTAATCATTTATGAAAGTGAAACAAATTTTTTATTATTTGTAAACAAATTTTTTTATTTTATTTTATCTAGAAATTTCTGCGTTGGAAGACCGAATTAAAGCTCTAAACTATTTGATAATTCTTTTACCCGACGTCAACAATCGGACTCTTAGAGTAAAACTTTCATAAAATCGAAATTTTTTTCTATCATACGCCCCCCCCCTCAACTTATTTCGTCGTTTTTATTTGTTTTTCAAAAAAAAATAAATATCAGATGTTAATACGATTTCTGAATCGGATATCTTTGCATCAAAATCAAAACAAAATGACGACCGATAATATAGCTACCATCATGGCGCCCAACATATTTCCGGAAGAAGTGCTGTCATCTTTCTCCGACCCCTCTTCGATGAAAGTAATCGCCTCGAATCATAATAATGGCAAGGGCGACCAAGTTGTGCAGGGCCGGAGAAGGAGGAGACAACTTGACCAGGCTATGCGATCCTGTAACATCATCAAATCCATGCTAACCTACGAACACCAACTTTGGATGGTTAAATAACTTTATTATACATAAATTTCTTCTCTTCTCTTCTTTCTTTCTTTCTTTCATTCTTTCTTTCTTTCTTTCTGAAAGAAAGAGAAAAAATGTCCAAGTTGGGTCTTAAGTGCAGAGGATATAGATAAACATCGCGTTATATATAAGATGCCAGAAATATACATATAAATAGGGCTAAAGCTGTGGGGTGAGGGTAGGGTAAGATAAATTGCGTCATCAGAATTGGGGGGGGGGGGGGGGGTAATTCGAAAATTATGTAAAGAGATAACCACACACCCCCCCCCCCGCCACAACTTGTAGAATTCATCTAAGGTAACGAGAGATGGAATATGAATTCCCCTATTTAAATTGCGGAAATGTTACTTCATTTAAATTATTTTTTATTTTTTATCTCTCAATTTTAAGAGTATCTCCTCCGATGGCGATGCTCTGTAATTAATTTTCGATGATACATTTTTTTTTTGTTTCTCTTCATTTTATTCCTTTTTAAGTCTGTGTGTCCTATATATATTGGAAAATAAAAAACCAAAAAAAAACATATTCAAAAAAACCAAAAAACAACGAGAATAAAAATTAAAATTACCCAAATAAATAAATTTTGGAAAAAAAAAAATTTTTATTCAAATTTATTTATTTATATAATTTCTTTCTTTTTTAAAAAAAAAAAATTTTTGTAAATGGCGAAAAATGATGACACTATTTAAATTTATTTATATTTTTTATATTTAGGAACACAGCCTAAAATAAACGTAAAAGAAAAAATTAGTTACGAATTCTTTTAAATGCACGAACAATCAATCAATCAATTTTTTCTAAATTAATACATCTGTCAAAAAAAAATTTTATTTTATTTTATTATATCAAAATACGAGTACATATAAAAAATATGTAAAAAAAGGTTGTATAATACTAAAATAAAAATATGTATTCTAATGTATATTACATCATTTTTTATAATGATAACATCCCCTTTGTAATGGTTTAATATAACTATATCTAATATTTAGAGATTTGATTTTTTTTAAAAAAATATTATGAATTAATTAGATAAAAAAACTATTTCGTATTATGAACTAAGATTAACTATATCCTCTTATGAAAGAGTAGACACATCTATACTATAACAAAATTTAATAAAATTTTGTCCGCCAGTTGGCGTTAAATGCTCATAATAATTTTTAAAATGTTCTTTTCAAAAAAAAAATTTGGATTGGAAATCAGTCGTTTTTTTAAAAAAAAATATTTGGGTGTAATTAAAATTTGCAAAGTTTAAATATAAATTATTGGCTTCTTTGAATTTTCAATTAGAGCACCAAGTTTAGATAGCGCACTTGCGATATACCCTTTTGGCTGCCATATTGATCTTTTTTTTCATGGTTGGTGAGATGTGTAAAACTTTCCTCTTTAAAAAAAATATTTGCATTTCACATATTGGCGGTCTAAATCCCGAATGAAATTAACTTACGAGCTACCTATTGTTGGCTGACATGTTTTTAGGTCAAAACATTGAAATTTGATTGCTCAGTTTTACCATTATGGGCCGTTAGAACTATAGATTTGAAAGATGCACTCTATGCTCCCCTGGTCATATTTGATTTACGCTACGACTATTATAAGAATCTTCTCGCGCTGAGCGTTGTATAAATTGAGCGATTTGGTCATTTAAAACGATAAATGTATGTAGAAATATATGGTGGGTAGTTTAAAATATGTTATCTATACACCTATATTACTTTTAAAAAATACGTAAACTATTCGATATTAATTACAACGAACACAATTTAATGAGTACCCGATAACATTTAATATGCAATGCCAACGCTCGAAATATCCAAGGATGAATTTAAGATGATTATTTCGCAACGTTCGACTTTTGGCTCGATAAATCTTTTATTTTACCCTTACGCACTAGAATGTTCTTCAGTTCTTTAAATCCAAAGAATACGATTTGAAACGGAAATGTAGTCCCAGCAGCATATATCGAAAACCCCATATCTGAATTTCAGACAATTTTGCCTTAGAACTGTTGAAGTTACTTTTGATTTGTATAGTTTTTTTTTATTATAAAAAAATAATTACACAAAAGTTTATGGCGGAAATTGCCTAAAATTTATAGGGTTTATTCTACAAAAAGCTGGGATACATTTTCGGTCAAATCAGATGTTTCAGATTTTAAAAATTCTCTTTCAAGTAAACCATAAAATTAAGAGATTCCGAATCTCAAACTCTTTTTGAAATCTTGCAAAAATATTAAAATCTAACCGTTCGGTAGATTTCGCCGGGAAATAAAAACTGTTATTGCGCATGCGTGAATCGGTATTGTGGGGGGGGGTCCGTCTATTTATAAAAAATTAAGTGATTTTCGCCCTCCGCCTACTAGTTCCCGTTAAACGGTTCGATTTTTACCGATTCTAAAATTAAGATTTTCGCCAAAATAAATAAAACGCGCGCCCTCGAGATTTCTTTTAATAGATGTCCAAACCTCTGCCGTCTATGAGCAAAATCTTCGGGCTCGCGTAATATTTTGGCCATATTGGATTTATCCGTTTTTTAACGATTCGAGACGTTTTGGCACAACTACCTTACTCTCTACCCCACCCCCCACCCCTCAAATATATATATCTACTAATAACTTTTTATAAATTTAAAAGGTACCCGATGAATTATTAAATCAACATCGTCTCATCAACGACACCAAAAATCGAAAGAACAAAAGGGTAAATCATATTATTTATCTTTTTAAAGTTTCGACTATAACGGCGCACCTTCTAAAACTAAGTGAGTACCACCTGATCGGTTGATATCGGTTACCGATCGGTTTCGATTTGATATCGTTATCGGATCCGATTGTCCACTCAGTTTATATTTTTTTTATAAAAGAATACTAAATTTATACGCCGTCACATTTTTTTTATCCCGCTTTTGGTGTTTTTTAAAATTTCGAGAAAAGGATGAATGAATTAATGAAAATATTATAAAACGCGCCATTACTGATTTTAACCTTTTGTACATAATAATTTATTTATTTATTATTTATAAAAAAAAAAAAATTATTCCAGAAGAATCCCTCAGACTATCATGCAGCTCTAACTAACAAAATCTTCGATTTCAATCAGGTAATAATATTTATTATATGGGGAAAAAAAAAAGGTTTTAGTAATTTTCATTGGATCCCCTTTATTCACGAGGTATGTGCTTCGTTTATAGTAACTGTGATGAAGCTTAGGCGATGAGTATCGCTAAGCGATATCGCGGCTGTAATTATCCTAGCATTCGTCTCATCGGAACGCTCAACGCCATTTATAAATGCATTCTACATATTACGACGGAGAGCGTTATCGTTGTCGCCAAAAAAAATGGCTTTTAGTCTTTTGTATATTTTTTTGGACTAGCTACTGTGACTTTTTATCCCAATCGGATTCTTCATCCACCCAGATACCAAACTCCCAAGGAGGGGGGGGGGATTAAAAACATGTGATTTTTTTTGGTTTTGAATTTAACCGCTAATTTCATATGAATTTACAAATTTATTTTAAAACCACCCTTTTGGACTAAACGATATTATTAAACCTATATTTTGTAAATTTAAAAAAAAAATGTTTAGGAGATGATTGACATCGAGATTTCTATCGAATTGATGGGCCAAAATTTTCGAAAAATAATAACCACTCCCATAAACCATTCCACCGCCATTAAGGACGTGGTTGGAAATTGCAAGAAATTTCTCAATATGGATTCCTGGAGAAGGATCGGACTTTTCGAGACTGGGGGGAATATAGGTTAATAAAAAAAAAATTTCAGCTGTTAGAATACAACTTGAAGGACACCAAGTAAAGAAGATGAAGAATTTCTTTTGACTAAAATTCTTTGCTTTCCGCTAACCTGTGCCTCATTTTTTTAGACCTAACACCTAAGGATATTTTTTTTTACAGTTGCCAATAAAGACAATTTATTTTAGCATAGGACTGTTCCATAAAATTCAAATGTAGCTAACTAAAAGTAAATGTTTTAAAAAAAAAAGCGCGTTTTTTTTAAATTTGATTTTACCGGAAGTGTATTCCATCATGTTCACGTGATACTTGACTGTAAGCCTATCGCCCATTTCTCTAAATGACAGCGGTGCTATGATATGACTCTCCAATCCCATCTAATTGGGAGTTAAGAAATTGAGGGTAACCTAAGAGTGATTTCTACAAATTTTTAGGCAGCCTGCTGTTACCCGTGTGCGCAAAGGGCAGAGCCGCTTGCTTATACGCCTACGGGAGAATAAGAAGGTAGAAACATGCCCGTACCTATATTAATAAAGTTTTGATATATTGAGGGATGTAGTGGCTATATTTTATGTTTACTAGGTAATAAGGGGATAGTAATTAAGGTGTTAACCATGTGTCTGAAGGAATAAAAGTGGCCCCTCCTGGATTTATGTACATCTGTTTTAGTGTAGGTAGTTTTTTTAACAGAAATTTTGTTATTCATCATTATAAACTGATTTTATTAAGTTTAAGTTTAGACACAGTACATCTCTTATTGATTTGTTCAGCCAACAGGATTTGTATTTTCGGTATGTTTTCCCTTTGTATGACTGCTGTTTTATCAGGGCTTCGTACACTATATTTTGTTTGTATTTCGAATCACGTTCCCGTTATGTTGTATCCCTTTGTGGGGTTGACTAGACCGGGGTGTGTTTAAAGATCCTCCATAGTTTGGCGTTCGAAATTATTTTGGGGTAGATGTACCCATCGAGTTGTCGGAGACATCGATTTATGAACACCTGTTATATTTTTTGAGTGTTGTTAACGTTCCAACTGTCGCTGCCATGGAGGACTGGGATAATCGCAGAATTGAATATTCGCAGCTGGTCTAGCCTCTTATTTTTCAATTTGTATCGCCTTTGTTTGTCTATCATAATTCCGAGATATTTAAAACTGATTACCATTTGTAGCCCTTTTGAGTCAAGGTGTGCTTTGGGGGCTGGCGTATTCGTGAAATCGGCGCGTTTACGTTTATTTTCTGGATTAAATATCGAAGTTAGCCCTTTTTAAAAAAATCGGCCCAAATCGAAAAGTTTAACAACACTTATTCCTCTGAATTATTTTATATTTTTTTAAAAAAATAACGAATTCGAACCGAATAGATTGATAGATAATTTTATTTATCGTTCGTATTAACGAATGGTTTTAAGGGTTCGTATTAACGAATGATTTAAAGGGTTCGTATTAACAAATGGTTTTGAGGGTTCGTTTCGGTTCGATACGCTACCCAACCCCCAACTGAAATGCCTTCTAATATGAAAATCAAACCGTTTATATTTTTTTTTGATCAAACATTTTATTTGTCAGTTATAATTTAAGAATTTTTAAAATATCCAATAGGAAGAAGGAAAGGATTTTGTGGGAACGTTCATTGTTTCATAATTATTGTATTTTTTTAAAAAAAAAGGTGAACGATACTTAAATCAAAATTTAGTATTGGTCAACGTCATGAAATCCAATCCGACTTGCAACTTAGTTCTCAAGGAAATCAAATAATCATATGTGCAAGATTTTTTCGGAATGCTGATTTTCTAAAGACGCTTGTCTTCTAACTTTCGTTGGACAGTTCGTATCTTAATATTTTATTGTTTGACAAATAGAAGTTAATCAGCCGATTTTGGACACACTTTTTTTTACGCCAAAAAAATTTTTTTTTTAATAAAACTCTTAAAATTTAGAGAGAAAAAAAAAGATCTCTTCACTCTGTTTTATTTTGATAGGTGACACTCACTCGGGATGAGGCTAATTTCGATTAAAAGACGTTCGATTTGAAAATTAGAAAAAATTTTAGATATATTTATCGCGATTTTATTTTTTCGATATATAGCCAATTTATTTTATTTTTTTTTAAATTAATTTTAAATCTCAGAAATTATTATTTTTTTTATATATAATGTAAGGCTGTTTTTATTTAAATCCAATGCACCTCATATATATTTTATGTAAAATTTAGGATCGATCTTAAATCATAATCCTTTTTTTTCCGACTCCGCACTTAAAAAAATTATTTTACGTGGTCAATTTTCTCAGTCTTTATTTTATATTTTTTTAAATATATATATATATATATATATACAAAATTTTATTAGCATTAAAAAATAATATAATAAATGATTTATTTTTTTTAAATTAATCGACTCGTATAACTTAACTAGATGAGGAAAATAATTAATCCGGCTTTTCGGCGAGGGTTGGGAAATTCGTACAATCTTTCTTTTTTTATGGAACGAGCCGGAAACCCGTTATAAAAATCAGGGTCCTGAGAGCTACCATTACGGACCGGATTTTAAAAAAAAAATTCGACCCGGCCTAGCCCGTGTTTCGTATATATATACACCTATTCGGCTTTTTACGGATCGTGTTTTTTTTTAGCTAATATTATAAAATCCATAACTTTTATAATTCTTAATCTCCCCATTTGTCGTAAAAGAGGTGAGTTTAGAATCACCACCACTTTCTATTCCACTTGGTCGATGGTGATTCCCTTATTTACTGTTCCTCTTGTAATATAATATAGTCCTTTATATAAGTGTCAATCATTTCGCGCTCTCTCCCTGGCGACATGCGTAATTGCCTGAATTTGCGGACAGAGCAGAAGAGAAAATAAAACGATACTTATCTAATAATGAATGTTGTGCGTATCTGTTGCTTTTAAAATTTGATTTGCATATCAAATAAAATGGCGATTAGTTGAATAATTAATTTTGAAAAATACTTTTTAAGGGGTAGAAATAAAACGGAAATGCGAATAAGTGAATGAATGTGATACATATTTTTATTTTTATCAGGGACCTGCAGAAGTTCCATTGCACAACCCGGTCCTGATTTTTTTTAGGCCCGACCCGTGTACCCGAGCCGGGTTTAGAATCAGGTGTGCAGGTCTCTGATAAAATTCGTAACCGGCCAGCTCGGGTGAGGTAATCGACGAAGGTTTAGAAAAATGAAAAAAAAATAGTTTTTTAAACAAATTGAATACTCGTTATCTTTGTTGTTCATTTTATTATTTCTTTTTTTTTTGACGAATTTTTATTACTCGTTTTATCCAGCATTCACATATTCGTTGCAATGTGTGAATGCGTGGTTCGACTCTCATTCGTCGATAGCGCAAATTCGTGGCGGAGAATACAAAAAACGACAAAAAACGCGGCGTTTTTTGTATAATTCGCCGCGAATTTGCGATAACAAATGAGGGTGAAAATATACTTCATCGAAATTATTTGGAATGGCATATTGGTTTAGTTAGTGCGGCGTATACATTTATTATTATTTAAGATGTTACTCGATTATAAAACAAATACACAATCAAAAACAATGTTACATGAACTAATAGTTATTTCTATCTATGATAGTTAAAAAAAAAATTCAGAATCTATAACTTGTTAATGTTATAATACGATTTATTAAATGTCATCATTTATTCGAGAGATGATTACGACAAGCACCTTCTCTACATTGAAGAAAGATGCCTAAATTTGCTGAATACTCTTGTTGTAGCCAAAAAAAAAAACTTTAAATAATTAATTAGAGAAAGAAAATTATTTAATTTTTTTAAGACAAATCACAAAATTTATTATTATAATAATAACCTCTTCTCAACCCCCACGTTAATAATGATCGCATTTTTCGAAATTATTTTGTGTTAAATGGCAATTCAATATTTTTTTTTATCCAGAAAAATATATTACGCCAACTTGAAGATTTTCTAGTAGATTGGAACAAAGGTTTGGACATCCATTAGCAAAATCTCAAGGCTTGTGCAAGATTTTTCTAGCTAAAATAATAGTTAGCCGTTTTTAAAAATCGGCCCAAATCGATACACTTAAACTTACACAATATTTCCACGTTTCTCTCCTTTCAGTTAGTGTTGTTAAAATACCTAAGTTTGACCATCTCAATTATGGCCTAAGTCTGGCCTTTTAGCCTAAAAATTTGAACTAAGCCACCAAGTTGAGAGTTCCGACTCGAAGATTGATTGGAATATTTTTGGTTAATTTGACTAAAGTTAGGTAGTTTAAAGCAAACAACACTACTTTCAGATAAATTTCGAAATATTTCGATAATTGTTCATATATATTTTTAAAAAAAATACATATATTTAATAATTATTGGTGCTATAAATAAAAAATAAATAAATAAATTCGGTTTTTATAACAAATAAAAAAAATGAAGAAAGAATATTAAAATTCCGAAAATTTAATAATTTTCATCACCGTTCGTATAAGATTTAAGATTCTATTTTATTTTTATTTTTTAAATGGACGTTTTATTTTTTTGGTATGTATAACTGAGAAGATGGATTGGATTGGGATGAATAATTTTACGATATATTTTTACATTTATACAAAAAATAAATATATTTATTTTTTGTGAAAGATGTCAAATTGTGTTTTTTTAAAAAAATGTGGAAATTTTTAAACGAGAAAAATTATATTTTTCGAAAAAAAAAAATGAAATTTGACAAATTTTTACTTTATATAACTTAAATAATCATTTTAAAAAAATGAGTTATGTTATAAGATTCGAAGATTTATTCGTGGACACATCAGCACCTAAAATTTTAAGCGATGGATATAAATTTGTCGGAAATATAATTCATTTTTTTTAAAAAAAAAAAAAAAAATTATAAGAAAAGAAGGTTATAATTAAAAAAAAAAAAAGGAAAAATTATATGAAAAGAAAATTATAAGAAAAGAAAATAATTCAAAAAAAAGGGAAATTTGGGGGAAATATAATTCAAAAAAAGGTGGAAAGTTATAAGAAAAGAATGATATAGTGGACGGCGCGCGATGATTTAATCAGTTTTAAATAGTGTTGTTAAACGGCTCGTTTTGAGCCGATTTTTTTTTTAAAAAAAAGGCTAACTCGATATTTTTTAGCCGGGAAAATATTGTCTAAAGCCTCGAAATTTCGGTAATAGATGTTCCAAACCTTCGTGTCCAATCCAGGAGTCAAAATCTTTTAGGCTTGCATGATATTTTTCCTGCTGAATAAAACATAGAGTGCCGTTCAATAACACTAGTTTTTTTAAAAACCATAAATGAAATTAAAAATGACATTTTGGCAGTCTAAAATCAAAAATAACAATAACTTTAAGTATAAAAAAAAATAAGATCTTTTTTGGTAATTTTAAAAAAAAAGATATTTTTAAATGCTTTTTGAAAAGAATACAAATTAAATAATAATTTAGTTTATTTAAATGTCAGTTTTTTGTGATATGCATCGTTAAAATAATTATTATGAATATATATATTTTTCTTTCTTTCTTCAAATACTGGAATTTGTAAAATAAGAAACTTTGGTTATTATAAGAAAGCGATTGTAAAAGCGATAAAAAAAAATTTATAAAATTTATCACCAAAATTACAAATTGAAAATTGAGATATTTATTTAAATACTGCTATTAAATATCATTCACATTTTAAGAGTGAGCCAATCCCAGCTGATTCTGGATGCACAAAAGGCTATAAAAAACTATCGATCCTTATAAGAGCAAACTGGTTTGTATAGGGAAAATTAACCCCGTTCGGGAAGAAAATGATTTCTAACACAAAGTATTTGTTAGCACGAACAATTATAAAAAACTGTGAAATAATCACAATTCAATATTAGCTAAAGCTGTAGCCAAAAAAATATATATCTATACATTTATATTAAATTTTTAAAATTTAACTAATACAAAATAAGTGTTAAATATTTTTCTTAAAATATCACTTATATAAACAATAGTGACGATGTTTTTCTCTCCTGAAAAAAAAAACATAATCCGTTTCTAATCCCCCTCCGTTGAGTTTCTAAAGATGAAAATATTTGAGAGCGGAGACGATGAGAAGTTTTTCCAGAAAAATTTCGGAGTCTATCAAGGCGACGTGAGCGGTTCGGCCCACCAAAGCGCTGGTCCGAGAATTAGCTATATTGACGGCGTTTTGGTTTTGCTTGGAAGAAAGGTTGAGGGAGAATGGGGATGGCAAGTTGAACTTAACCTCGTATCTCACTATCTTGGTTCCTTTTTCATCATTTTTGTTGCATTTTTTTTTTGTTTAAAAAAATCAATTATAAACGTGTATCTAATCCTACTTTAAATTAATGGTCGTAAAAGCGGATGTCGTATAGTTTTTTATAGGTATAGCCTTAGGCGGCATTTTTAGCGAGATCCGATACTTATTTAACAGTCGTAAAATTTTTAGCTTCTTCTTTTTTTTTAAAGAAAATATGGTTGGAATTGGAATAATATATGATTGGAAAAAAAAGAAGTCACTAAGTTAATAATAAAAAAAATTATAAATGGGTACCGTGAAAAATCTCCATAAAGTGAACCCTCAAGAGGTAAGTCAGATAATAGAGAGCTACTTTACTATACTTAGAATTTTTTTTTTAAATAATATGATTCTAGGAAACGATATAGACCGAACCCAAGGGGAGTTTACGCCTTTCAATCTATCCTTAAATCTTTTATCATCCTTCCTATCTTTTGGCTATCAACCTGATAGCTACATAATCTAGAAACGTCACTTTTTAACCTATAAATCCATAAACCCTTCTTATTTGTGCATTGAAAATTAAGAGTTGAAAAGGATTGTTAATCCGATTAAGATTTTAAAAAAAAATATTATTTTTTTTTTTTTAAAAAAACCCGAGCGCCTTAGCGGTTCGATCACGAGTTTTATCATTTCCTCCTCCAAACAATTGTCGTTGGGTAGCGCTTCGTTCTCGCCCTTTACGCCTACCCTATTTCCGGTTTCGGCCGCGTAATCTAGGGGTAATAGCAGGGCCGACTTCAAGGGAGCGTATTTATCTTGGCTACTACCGACGAGTAGCAAGTGCTTAAAGTGTCCCAGGGCTTTACGGGAGTCCCGGCATAAGCAATACAAGTAGGCGTTTCGCCGAGGATCGTTGAAATGCGTCGTTTTCTGGTTATCTTTTTGGGGGAATATTTTTTTTTTTTAAATGTGATTTAAAAAAAAAAATACAATAAAACATCTCGTTTGAGCAAATTCTTCCCTAAATAAGGATTGGTAAGAATTTTGTTTCATCCTAATAAAAATGTGCAAAATGTCTATCTAATTTGTTACGAAAAAATAAAAAATTCTGATTACCGTGGTAAATGCTATACAATATATTATTATAATAAGTTCGTACATTTTATGATACGTACTATTTGGATTTAAAATTATGATGATTATCATTTGTTTTCATGATTGACAGCGATAACATATTATTCGTGATGTGGCATGAATGATTATACAATCATGATAAAAAACCGCATCAAGACTATCTTACGAACAACTGATATGGCAAAAAGGCGCGAAATGGGGCAAATTGGCAAGGGCCCGCTTTGGGCGAAGAAGAAAGATAGTTACGAAATCTGGTTAACTGTCGTAAATACTACATCCACCAGAATAATGAATGAAGACATGAGATATATTCAAAAATGATGAATATTAATTTTAACTTAAAAGCGGGCTTACTTATACATTCTCCGTTAGATGGCCGAACCCTGGAAAAGCCATTACGAACGTGTCCATTTTCGTAACCGTTACCCATGGCACCAAACTCATTCTTGAGCTTCCCGCCTCTCCCGCGAGTCGGAAATCGCTCCTGGTTATCGAGATCGTCATCGGGGATACCCTTATTTTTCCCATTCCAGACAAAGCCATCGCGATTGCGGAGGTTTTCAAAGACTGGCAGGCTTTGAAATTCTTCGTCAAAACTATGATTTACTATGCCGATATTTTCCTCGCTTTCAACTTTGTGGGGTTCGGTTTTTAAATTTAGAGCGTTCTTACCTTCATAATCTTCATCGTAACAACTGTGGTTATTATCTGGACCCACAAAATTATAGCCACCATTTTTTGTAAGAATAGGGGTAGGATTGATAAAATCCCTGAGAGTTAATTGGGCGGCCAGTTTCCAGGAGGGCCCTTTAACTGTCGCCAAAAATTTTAGACCTGCCGTCACCGGGTTAAGCAGTTGTGTCAAACCAGTGTGGGGACCGGAGATTGAGAGGAATGTCTGTAACCTTTCAAGGTAGGGTTCGAAGGAAGAGTTTAAAATCATGGCCCTGACGATGAGGCATCCAAGGGAATGGGCCACGAAGCTTATACGGGTTATACGAGGCACGCGGAAAGGAATGGGTCTTTCGGAATAACCTGAATTTTTGGAAAATATTTCGCCATTTTGCCGAAAGTCGGAAGCGTGAGATAAGCGGGAGAGAAGTTGGGAGAGGCAATGATCGGCCCTGGCCTCTATATCTAAGGATTGTGTGTGCACCGTGCTATAAAGATTATGAGTTAGGGTTAATAATATAGTTTACAATAAACAAAAAAAAATAAGATATTTGATAAAAAATTTGAAGAATACTAATCGTTGTTATCTATCGATTTGTGATAACCAGATATGGACGTTTTTCCGATAATATTTATTTTTCGAGTATGATTATTATTATATTATTGTCTTTGCTACTTTAACTCAATCACGTGACATGGAGGTGAAAATAGGGAAATATTGAGTTTTGAGAGTTTGATATACATGTATACATGAAATTAGTTGTTAGTATAAATCGGCTCGTTTTGAGCCGATTTTCTGAAAACCGCTAACTCAACATTTTAGCCGGAAAAATATCGCCCAATCCTCGAGATTACCATAATAGGTGTCTACACCTCTGTTCCATCTGTTAGCTAAATCTTCAGGCTCGGGTAATATTTTTCTGGGTGAAGTATTGAGTTAACCCTTTTTAAAAACCGGCCCCAAAACCAGCCGGTTAACAACACTATACGAAATATATGTTAAATATAATGACTTAAAAAAATCGTTCTTAATACCTCGTCTGGAACTTCCACTAAATTAGAAAAAAAAAACTAATTCGTTTGGCCCCGAGGAATCTTAAAACAAAAATTCTTCATTTTTAAATTTGAGGAATTCGATACCGTTGACTGACGATGAATTTGTTAATAGTGCACGTCAATGAAAAACAGCTGAAGACGCCATTTTGGTTACCTATTCCCTTTTTAAAAATAACATATTTTCAAATAACATCATATATAGTGGTTTGTAACATCACGGGTTCCCAAAATGGAAGCTCCAGCTGATTTGTATTCAACGACGCTTTCAAAATGCATTATCACGAATGCATCGTCTGTCTAGGTATTATTACATGTCATTGATGGACACATCTCCATCTTTTTTTTTCGAGTAATGTCGCTTACTTATTAGAAGATTCGGGAAGTAATCGAGAGAAAGGGGAACAAAGAACATTTATATGAACAAAAGACATGTTTTTTAAGCTTTCCGTCCGACATTTCGAGACGCGAATACTTTGTCGGACGTTAAAGCCCATCTATTACCTTCTTAATTCGTTGGTGGGTCCGGAACCATTGTTAATACATTCAAATAAGAAGCAACCTTATAGGCCAAGGTAGAAAACCCTTACTTATTAACAGAGTTGTTAAAGGATCTAGATCCTGTATCTAGATATAAAAATGTAGTATCTGTATCTAGATAGATTTTCGATTAAAATATCTGTATCTAGATATTATTTTAGACGATGTATCTGTATCTAGATCCATTTAAAAAGTATCTTTTAACAACTCTGCTTATTAACATTAATGTTAACATTATATTCGATTCTTAAAGCTGGACATTAGGCAAATGGCGTATTCAATAAAGAGTTTTCTAAATCAGATGTTTTTTTTTTTCAAAATATAGTTCTTGAAAGTTTGTTTATCGATTCTGATGAGGAGGAATACAGGGCCCGCGGTTTTTTTTTTCGGAGGTAATTTAATGGATATTGAATCTCGAAAAATATATGTTTCAACTAAAAAATAACACTAGAATAAATGTATAAAGCGTCAAACCCAATGACATATAATAATACCTAGACTGACGATTCATTCATTAAAATGCATTTTTAAGCGTCGTTAAAAGCAAATCAGCTGGATCCGCCATTTTGGTAACCTTTATAATAATTATTTTCATGTTAAAAACTAATATTAAATTGATAACTTACTTTCTTATTATCTCGATGAACAGGCAATTCTTTAATAAAGTTTGCATCAGATATAATATAAAATTAGGCTCTCGTTTAAAATTTTAATATTTATTACAGTAACCAAGATGGCGTCTCTAGCTGTTTGTATTGATGTACACTTTTAATGAATGAATCGTCAGTCTAGGTATTATTATATGTCATTGGTCAAACCGGACATTAAAATAGGGGTGTATCGATATTTTTATCGGATCGGGCCGATATTTCACCCATTTTAAACATCGGTTATCGGCCAATATTATAAAATATTCCGACCCGACCCTATATAAAATGGCGTCTTTAACAAAAATAGAATGTTATAAAAAAATTTTTAAAAAAAAAGTTTTATCTAAAATCATTTATTAATAAAATCGAAATGATTTTTATGTATTTTTTTTAATAATAATAATTAATTAATTAATAAGCATTCTGCCACATTGCTATTTATTTTGCGTATTCTGTTTATAAAAGTGCGCGATAATCTCTTCAGAATCTGTTTTTAGTGAAGCTGGAAATATTGACATTTCCATCGCCTCAGGCTGAAACCTCTGATAAATTGGAAAGTTTGGTATTTCTAAAAAAGAAATCATCGATATATTAATGTCAAACATTATTTTAAATATTTATTTCCAAATTACATATAATATTATTTAATAAAAGTGATTTAACAATAAATATTTTATATACTTTTGTTGAATAGAATAAACTATAACTGATCGTTATAATATATTTAAATGACATGAGTTATGGTACAGTTAAATTATAGATGTTATACTAATAAAAAGTATATTAAAAATTAAAACCATTGGTATCATTACGGAATACAAAATGATATCGGATCGATAATCGGCCGATATCGATTTAATATCTGGAATATCGGATCGAATCGGCCTCCAAAATGGGGTATCGGTATACCCCTACATTAAAATATTTTTTAAACATTAGGCGAGCGAGTAGACCTCTGAATCGAAGCTAACTGTGGAATGAGGGGGTCCAAGTTAAATACCCCCGGACACGTTAATTCGATAACATTCTTGGTAAAGATAGGATGAGGTGTTATAAGTTACTAGTTCTACTATGTGGTTTGTAATTTTTTTAAAAAAATTCTATTCTCAATTAGAAACAGTCTCGTCCGATCTTAATTAGTGGATTAATCTAGATGGAGAGTAAAATTTTAAAACCTTACCAATTATATAAAGAAAGAAAAAAAATTACCTATCGGGACACACTTGTTCGGTCATGAGAAATTCGAATCGCGGAGCGTCAAGCGCTTCGTGGGCGTTGTCGAGGTGGCCTTCTTCGGCGTAGCGATGGTCAACAGACGATAAGGGTAAAAGCCTCTTGAAGACCATCTCGAAAGACTTGAGGTCGTTCTTGGAGCCCCCCAACCCGTGGACACAGACTACCAAATGGATCGACTTGGGAGCTGATAATAGAGAGGTGCATGATGACGGACTATCTGACAAGGAATAGTTGGTTAATGGTCTAGTTGTCGATAATAACTTTGGCGAGTAGAGGGCACAAGGTTCTGACGAGTTTAAGATTAAGGGTAAATCTTCGGGTGTCGTAGGAAGCTATAAAGAAATATACATAAATAGGATAGAATCATATTCCTCGCTTAAAAGTCTTGGCCGTATAAACTTCGCATTAAAAGGCAATGCATCGCATTTAATGTTTACTAACAAAAAAAAGAGTGACGGGCGTCATTTTAATTTACGACAGTGCTCAATTAAAAACAAAAAATGGACACCATTTTTTCTCCGCAACAATATCTAGAGTAGGCCTTTTCTCTAAATCGATTTTTTGATCGTAGAAAAAAAAAATAGATTTCATCACTCATTTTTGAATTTATTTTCTCAATACCAGAAAAAAAAAAGAATTATAAAACATAGAGAAAGAAATTAGATTAATAATATTCTAATTTTTAACCTTGTTGGAAATCATTTTAGCTCCGACAGACTTTCTCCTACATGACGATGATGAAGATCTGGTCAAAAATTCTGCGCAAGAAGTTAATCTCGCGCAACCGCCACCAGTTTTCCCTAGTTTATTATTACCCATTTCTTGGTCGTCAAAATTCATTTGGCCGCTTTCTTCGTAGAAGCCAGAAGGCGTGCCTTCGTTATCGCGTAAATCGAAATTAGAATTCATTATCGTGGTGGGGTTGGCGTGTGTACTCGAGTATTCGTCAGCGATATTTGTCGACGGAATATTTCCGTTGGGGTTAAACTCGCGGGAAAACACCGACGACTTCTTTTCCCATCGCATTTTAACGTTGGAGGTCGGGAAGGGTAAAACAAAAGTTTTCGATTTTGATCTAGAACCGAACCCCCTAAAACTCAATTTTCTCTCGCATTTTAGCGGGGAAGGCACGTTATCAGATAATTTGGGTGAATCAGCTGTTCCGGAAATCGAGGAACAATCCGATTTGAATCCTATCAATTTAATATCGCCGTCGTCGCCTACATTACCGTTATCTCGAGCGAACCAGTTATTATTAGCCTTACGAAGAGCTGGCGATAGGTAGAAACCGCTTTTACGTCGAGTCAACTTAGCCAAAGGGGTGAATTGCGTAACGGATCTATCAGATTCGAGGGGCAATCTAGGACTAGGGTCAAAATGGGAAGCCGCGAGTAACGGTGGAACCTGGAATAAAGACCGAAAAATGTTTGAAATTTCCGAAAAAACGGCAGATAAACGTCCCATTTTAACGTCATCGCGGCCTGGGGATTTAAATGGAGATAGAACGCACCCGTGAAGAGCGGAAAATCGGTGGGATTGTTTGTTCAAAAGCGCGAATACGGTCCCGTCGTCTTCACCCAGATTTAGCGGAGAAAATATTAATCGACGAAGTGAATTAGGTTCGTTGAGAGGGTTATCGTAATTCGCGGTATACGATTCGGAGGCGTCTTGGTCTATTTTATATATATATATCACGATAAAATTAGAAAAAAAAGGGATGAAACCATGAAACTGTGGAAGACGAGATATTCGAATTAACCGGGCCGGTAAACCATTACAAAAATTTTGGGACCGAGTTCCGGTTCAAAGCAAAAATATAATAATCGTCACGTGATATCTTCTAAAGGTTTTCCTTTTAAGATTTTTCCTGGTAGTAGGGCGGATAATAAATTTATATTCTAAAATTTAAAGAGTGTAGAAGGGAAGGGAAAAATTATAGACAAAAAACAGCTGGTAAATTGTCACGTGTTTAAATTGTGAATACCTCTACTGTCTCGTATTCAATTTTTTTTTTAACAAAATAAAATGTCATAAAAATTCTTTTTTTTTTTAAACTAACTTTTAGAGTCGTCAGTTAGGTGTTCCGATATGACGCAATGATCGTAGGTACTCGACGAGTCCCCATCCAACTCCACGACTTCTAAGGCGTGTCGTAAGGCGGAATTAAAGCATTTATCTGGCAATTTGGGCATAGCCTTACGGTTAAGGGTCACGTAAAAATTGACCGAAAATTTTCGAATCTATTGTGATAAAAGAAATCGGGTTGTTGTTGTTGTTGTTAAACTGGCTTTTTTTAAAAAAAACTTCATTTTAAATTCACGTGATTATTGTGGGACACGTGATTATTGTGGGACACGTGATTATTGTGGGACACGTGATTATTGTGGGACACGTGATAACAGTTTTTTTTAAAAAAAGGATGCAACCACCAATGAGTCGTAAGCGCCAATAATTTTGGTATCATTTTTAATTTTCTTAAATCAATATACAATTTTACGAGCCCAATCAATAAATTTATTACGTAGATCGATTTAAATCAGTTTTTGAAAAAAAATCGATAAACAATCGCAAAAAATTAGATTAGAGCGTGCTAGGAATAAAAAAAAATCCCGTTTTTTTCGAGTAAAAAAATATAAAACGTTGTTTTTTTTTTCCTATTTTTATTCTAATTCAAGTCATCTTGAATATTCCAGAGTCAAAAAATTTAGGCATGGTTCGGGATTTGGGGGAAAAAAAATTTTCTAATCAAGTCCGGACTGGCCAGAATTTTTTCCGGTAGTTTTTCGGATATTTTTGGACCAAGTTTATAGCCTGTGGTAGTGCCGTTAAACGGCTTTTTTTGAGCCGATTTTTAAAAACGGCTAACTCAATATTTCATCCAGAAAATTATTACGCAAACTTGAAGATTTTGCTCATATAAGAAACCAAAGGTCAAGACATATGTTATCTAAATCTCGAGGCTTTTCATTCCTTCCTTCCTTCCTTCCTTCCAGCCTGTGGCCTATAATGATTTAAAATTTCGTTAATTTTTTTTTTTTTGGGGGGGGGGGGTTATATTTAGCAATATTGTTTCAAAGGGGAATTTCAAAATTTATGGGAGCAAAAATGAAATATAAAACCGCTATTTTCTCCGCTATAAAGCCCGACCCTGTTTTCCTAAAGTCACATAATTTTTATGGCACGGTTCCAGGCCAGGTGTGGAGTTCTGGACATGCAGGTCTTTCGACATAACCCACCAATAGTACGCGAGAAATTTTTAATTTATTCACAAATCATTTTTATAATGATGTACAATTTTGTTAAATTATGTTATCAAAAAAAAAGAAAAAAAACTAACTTTAATTGTTTGTTTTTTTTCTGTTTTTTTTTCCTCGTTTTTTTATGTTTGAAAAATTGTTTTTTTTATTAATCCCTAAAATAGTTTTATAAAAAGTTCCGATTTAAAGGGTTAACCCAATATATTAGCTAAAAAAACATATAATTCGAGCCTCAAGATGTCGTTAATAGATGTCCAAATCTTTCTGCCATCTATCGCGCAAATTTTCCAGGCGTGCGTAATCATTTTTTGACTAAAATATTGGGTTAGCCGTTTTTTTTTAAAAATCGAACCGTTTAACAATGCTACCCTAGAGCTAGCTATTTAAAATTTACCCTATCATAGTAATATTGAGAGTTTAATAAGCGGTCCTCTAAGCCCGAATCATGGCCGCTCAACTTTCCGGCATCTTCCGGGGCAAAATGAGCGGTGGTGGCGAGCCCATAGGTCGAACCCGTTAAATGTTTCCAAATTTCTTCGTTCTCGCGAGAGATCAAATCTAGCAATCGGATAGAATAACTCACGAATTCGGTCACATAGTTGTGCTTGTGGTCGGTAGCGGTGAACGCCAGGATACGAGACGGGAAGCCTAGCAGAGCCTCTTTCAAGGTTCGGCTAAAGTCTTCTTTTTTTTATATTAAATATATATTTATAAATAGTAGACCCGCCAAACCTGAAATAATTTTTTAAAAACCCCGCCGGATAAGGGCTTGAAAATAATTTTACAGTGGGACCGAAAATTTTGATCTCTGTGGATCTCTGACATGTGTCACAATGGAATATGTGATCTATGAGGAATTCGGAACGAAAATGTATTCCTTAGATATAAACAGACAATTTTGCCGCGAACTTTCGAAAAAAGCACTCTTTTTTTTGCTTTTATATAACCTTTAAAAAAAAAAATAAAAAATTTTGATAATTTAGAATCGTTATTGATAATTTTATAGTTTTTTTAATTAAATGTTAATTGATAAAGTTTCCAACTTTCTCTTTCTTTCTTTCTTTCTTTCTTTCTTACTCTCTTTCTTTCTATCTTTCTCTGTCTTTCTTTATTAGCACTTCATTTTTTTTCGATATTTCCAAAATAAAATAAAATAAAATAAAATAAAAGTAAAATAAAAAATAGGTTGCCAAAAATTTAAACGTATCTTTAATCGCGCGTACTTTTTAGTTCGTATTTAAAATTTGACTCCAATTCGCGATCCTTGCTGAACTCAGAGTGAGCCAAAAAAATATTTTTTTCAAAAATGGAGGGAAAAACGAGTTCCCGTGTAAATTAATAATTTCTAAGATTTCGCTTGGGGAATTTCGCGATCAAATTATGATAAAATGAAGAATTGGGTTTTTTAAGAGATGAAAAAAAAAATAATAAAATAAAATAAATTAAAAAAACCCAAATGGATTTCCTTATGCGGGTACGGTTCATCATCCGGGCGGAATCCGGGAAAATTGGCGTATAGAAAGTACTTCAAGAGGGTGCACTTTAAGCTAAAATGGGAGAGGATCTGGATGTAGAATATTTGAACGAATCGTTCGACAGCTGATCGGTAACCATGAAAACCATCCGGGTTGACAACATATTTGCATGCCTATGGAAAAAAAAATAAATAAATAAATAATGTCACGTTATTATTTAAATTTGTTTGTTTGTTTTTTTTTATATCATTTCAAGACAAACGAGCGAATCAAAATATAAAAAAAAAATAACAACTTATTTACTTTAACGTTTTTAGAGACCATTCCGTTCCTTAACAAGATGGCTTGCAGAGTTGGGGGTAAAAAAGGGTAGCAGCTGTTAGGGTTATGCCGATTATTTTCGGTGTTTTCATGTCCGCCACTACCTACTGTCACGGCGATTTCTATTGTTAATTTTTTAAATATATTTCCCATTTAAATACATAGAGTCTTTCGGGTAGATTCGAATGTTTTTCCTCTCAAAATTGAGTCGATGTCCAAAAATCTTATCCTTATGCAGGAGGGCGTTTTCTCCTGCCAGAATTGTCAGAACTGACGATTCAGCTTTGAGTCTCGGATATAATATAAAGTTGTTTTTTTTCCTCTTTAGCTTTCACCTTTTCTAGTGGTAAGCTCCTTCAAAATCTTTCTCCACTTTATGTTATTCATACTATCTCTTTTATCTAATTTATACTTTTCATATTGGCTTTAACTTTATGGCTACATTGAAGTTTTGGCCTTCTCCTTTTACGTTGGCCCATCACTTCCAAACTCTCAACCTTATTTCCTATGTAGTTCATAGGCCTTCTCATTGTGTGCCCATACCACCTAAGTCTGTTTACACCATTATCTTAGTCCTTCCTAATATTCTTGTACTTCGCATCTTATCCTTTCTTGTTACCCCAGCAATCATCCTCAGCATTCTCATCTCCATAGTTTGTAGACTTCTCTCGTCTGATTCTTTGGTTGACCATGTGTCCGAACTATATAGTATAGTTGGTAGTACTATGGAACTGTAAATTTTTCCCTTCAATTTCTGTGGTATTCTTTTGTCAAAGAGCACTCCAGATAAGGATTTCCACTTTAACCACCCTTGATTAATTTTAGTTCCATAGTACAACCAACTATCTATATAGTTCGGAAACATGGCCAACCATATAATCTAACGTTTTAACTTTAACAAATCGCAGCGGGAAGTACTCTGGTATTTAATCCGATGAAAAATGGACGGGCGAATTTCCTTCGAAAAAGGATGACTAATATTTTATTCTCTTTTTTTGTGGTAAAAAAAAATTAAAATTACTTTCATTGGTATCTAGAGATGACAGGAGATCGAAGGACAGAAGACCATCAGGAATTTGTGCTGAAGATTGAGATGAGTAAGCCTTCATCTTGTTCTGTTGTTTGATTTTTTTGTAGACCCTAATTTTTTTTTTTTTTTAAATAAAAATTTAAATATGAGCCATGTTTTATGTGGAACTGAAAGCAATCTGTAACACCAGATGTTTTCTTTTTAAACGAGTGGGGACTGAACAGTTATTTAATTTTTGCAGTCAGGTTATGACTGACAAGTTCTCGCAGCGGTCAGATAAGGACCTGGGCATTTTTTGATTTTCCCATAACTTGGTTTTTTTTTATATAATATGGATTGGATCTGATATTTAATAACTAACCTAGACTGATGATTTATTTAATAGTAGTGTGCATACTAAATTAATCATTCGGGCATTAAATTTATCATAATGGGCAGTATTTATATAATGTTAACCCAGTAAAAAAAATAAAATTAAGTTGAATTGTTAATTGTAACTAAAATTGTATCGTATACAGTATTTATTTGAAAAAGTAGTAATTTATACAAATACCTTTTTTATTATGAGCTATTCAAGTATGTTACATTATTAATCAATATATCAAAAATTGCAAAAAAGTTTGCGTTTTTTTTATTGAAAATAAATTTTTTATATCTAAATATTTAATTAAAGCTTATAGTTGTTTAATTGTAACAACAAGCAACATCAGAGTCTCTAACAACTATTAGTCCTACTACAACAGCTGCTCAGAAAATCTTTTCTGAAACTGATTATGCTCACAGTACGAATTTTCTAATCATTATGTTTTGTTACTTAGTGAGGAATATTTTTTTTCCTAAATTTTGAACTAATTAGGAAATCACAAATATTCATAAAAGCTATGTTAATTTAGGGGCAATAAATTAATCAAAATGGGTATTTATTATCAACAAATTAATCTTTTTTGGCAGTATTTAAAAATTTTTGGGCAATATTTTTATCAAAATGGGCAATATTTATATAATTTTAACTCAGTAATAAAAAAAAATTAAGTTGAATTGTTAATTAACGAAAATTGTATAGTATACAGTATTTATTTGAAAAATTGTTTAGTAATTTACAGAGTTGTTAAAAGATACTTTTTAAATGGATCTAGATACAGATACATCGTCTAAAATAATATCTAGATACCGATATTTTAATCAAAAATCTATCTAGATACAGATACCACATTTTTATATCTAGATACAGGATCTAGATACTTGTATCTAGATCCTTTAACAACTCTGGTAATATATATACAAATATCTTTTTTATAACTAATTTAAGAAATCACCTTTAATGACAAAATATTCTAATTACATTTTAAACATATTATATAGGAATATAAGTTGAAAAGCGTAAAAATCACCTACATATTGGACATCAATATCAGATTCAGATGAGACTGATAATCTTTCTGAAATAGTATAAGATTTCTAATAATCTTCTTTGAAAAATAAAGCATATAAAGATTATGATATGATTTTTAGTTCTTGTTAATCATTTTTTTCTAATAAAATAGCATGAGTGATAATATTTTTTTGATTTAAATTATCCAAACAAAATTTGATTTATCTTTTTTATATACTTTAGAATAAGATAGGAAAAAAGAAAAGGAAATATTGTTGTAAAATATAATAAGTTATGTGAGCGAAAATATATCTGGTTGATGAAGCTAACAGAGAGCCATGTCAAATGTAGAATATGCTCTACGATATGTAATTACAACGTGAGGGGAGAATATGATATTTTACGACATCGAAAATCGTTAAAGCATAAGTCGGTACAGGGGAGTATATCAACATCGATTGCAAATACAAAAATGTTCTCCAAAAAATATTAAATAATACAAATGCAACTAGAGTTGCGGAAATTGTATACACCTATCACGTAATTCAACATTCACAGAGCTATCTATCACCACAATGTGGTTCGAATCTTTTCCCCATAATATTTAACGATTCCAATATTAGTGCAAGCTTTACTTGTGGATAGAACAAATATGAGCAAGGCTATCACAAAATATTATATGCTTATTTTTCAAAAAATTATTAGAAATCATACTATTTTCAAAAAGATTATCAGTCTCATCCGAATCTGATATTGATGGTGAATATGTAGGTGATTTACACTTTTGAACTTCTATTCCTATATAATTATTTTAAAATGTAAACTAGAATTAAAAGGTGTTCTAAATTAGTTATAAAGATATATAAAAAAATATTTATATAAATTAATAAACAATTTTCAAATAAATACTATACAATACAATTTTAGTTACAATTACAATTCAACGTAATTTTTTTTTACTGGTTATAATATTATATAAATACTGCCCAAAAGATTAATTTATTGATAATAAAAATATTACCCATCTTGATTAATTAATTTACTGCCAAAAATAATCACAGCTTTTAAAATACTTGTGATTAGTCAATGTCATTAGCGATAGTAGATGTCATTAAAAGACATTTTGTCCAAATCCCTGTCATTGGTGGACTTTGAAATATAATTTTAATGTATTAATATTTGTCAGTCTAAGCTAATTATTAATATCATTGGCTAGATATTATTTTAAGTCAGGCCAATATCTAAAAAAAATAAAATAATGGTTATGCAAGCATCATTAGGGCAAATATTATTTATTAAAAAGTTTCTCAAACTAGAGAGGACCTGAAAAAAATAGGTATAGCTACATGGCTCTAAAATAATGCAGATTATTTTAAATATTATTTTGGAATATTTATCAAAATATTTCAGCAACAAAAAAACACAAATTACTTATATGTGGGTTCTCTCAGAGATATCAGGTTAGCCTGGGTGGATATATTGATGCTAGCAAGGTGCCTATGCCCAAATATTATTGGGCGAGCATAATGTAGTCCATTTAGCAAATCGTAATGACATATAATTTTCCTTGAACTGCAAAATTTGAAGTCCCTACATTTTTTGAGCTTGTCTTCAAATTTGATTTCGGTATCCAATTTATTTAATTTAACAGTAGAAGTTCTGGGATTGTGATAAAACAATTCTACTGTTAACTCAAGGTCTATTTGCTTTAAGGTGTCAAATGCCTTTTAGATATATATATATAAAATATAGATTCAAATAAGTGAGCAAAATCTGTTTAAATATTGATATTACCTTTGATGAGTCCACCAAGAAAATGATTTTGTGCAAAAAAACTTCATTAATTTCAACAACCTCGTTTTGAAAATTTATATTAATTGTTGAACTTATAATTGTAATATCTTGAGACGAATTTGTATCAATAGTATCTTTAAATCTTATTAGTAAAAAAAATAAATAATTAATATAATTACTAGGACAGGATTCTGAAACAGACTGATTAAAGGGGGTTTTAAGTTTAAATCTTAATTGATATTCCCTAAAGATGTATAATTATTTAATTTATATTAATAAATAGATACCCGCATTTGGTGAGGTCTATATTTGTAAAATTTTTAAGTTTTAATAAAAAATATAAGGTTCCTTGAAGTTCAAACATTTTACCACATGTTTCAAAATAAAGTGGCATACGATAGAAATTAAAAAAGTTCAATATTAAAATACCCCCTTAACATTTTTGCTTAGTTTAATTCAATGACATATATAATACCTAGACTGACGATTTATTTATTAAAATGCATTTTTAAGCGTCGTTGAATGCAAATCAGCTGGACCCGCCATTTTAGTAACCCATATGATAATTATTCTCATGTTAAAAACTACTATTAAATTGATAACTTGCTTCCTTATTACCTCGATAATCAGGTAATTCTTTATTAAAGTTTGTATCAGATATAGGAATAAATTAGGCTCTCGTTTAAAATTTTAATAATGATTACTGTAAGCAAGATGGCGTCCCTAGCTGATTTGCATAGATGTACACTTTTAATGAATGAATCGTCAGGATTGATCGTCAGTCTTGGTATTATGTCATTGGTTTAATTGGCATAATCGAATGTGGCTCTGTTAATTTCATAGCTTAAAAGGACAAAGTTTATAAAGAATATTGAATGACTTACATACATAATGTACATATATAATAGCTAAAATTTTTATCATATTATCAGTGATGTAGTTGAGGGGAGGGCGGGGGTGGGAAGTACCTCCATCAATTTAAATGAATTTCAGTGCCCCCGAATTCTTAAAAGAAGTGGATTTTTTATAGTGATATCTTAGTAGCCTAATCCTTTTTATCATGAAATAGTAAACACATTTATTGAAAAAAATGGCAGTATATTAATAAAATTTTACATTCTAATTTAAAAACTAACCATTTCCTATTTTAATTGTTTCTTAAAAAGATTATTTAATAGAAATATGATCTTCTCATATATATTTTTTAGTCGTTTACTAGTTGTAATCCGCTTTTCCGCAAGGACTGCCTTGTGTTTATAGTTTATTTAATTTATAAATTTTAATTACCCCCATTATTTATTTTTGCATAATTAACTATCCTATAAAATTCGAAAGTATAAATTAAATTACTTTCATTTTTTCGAACAAAGGTTGTTATTTTGTTGTATAATCACATTTTCTACCATATGGATATTTGTGTAGCTAAGGGTTATGTACAAATTCTAAGACCCTCGATGATAAAAAAATAACAACGATCTCACGTTTGTTAAATTTCTTCTTTTTTTTAAATCTAATATATTACTTTTTATAAAGTTGTTATATAGATGATAACAGTGGTGAAAGATAACGGTGGAGATTTTAATTTATAATAATTTTATTCCAAAACTAAATTGATACTTCTTAAATAAATATAAAATAAGGTATATATATATGTATAATAAAAAAAAATAATTTAAACGAAATACATAGTTAAAGGCTATAATAACAATTTAAGTTAAATAAAAAATCAATCGATCAACAAGAGTAAAGATTTATTAAGATGATCATTTGAATATGTATGTTAAGCAACTTTAAATCAATTTTTGAGTGTGTTATTTTAAATTAAAAAATCTGATTTTACCGAAAGTGTATGCCGTCATATTTGAAATACCTGCCCAATTAATTTCAGACAATTTTTGCATGAATCTTTAAACTTAATATAATATATATTTCCATATATTAATTATATATATTATAAATGACTCAAAGGTTAACAGCAAAATTGTCTACAATTCATAAGAGAGGCATTCCAAACATGATAGAATATATTTCTTGTTAAATCAGATTTTAAATTTTAAAAAACTCGCTAAAAAATGATTTAAAATTGTAAAAATAACACTGCCAAAAAAAAACACATTGACGCTAATACAACAATAGTTAAAATAATAAAATTTATATAAGTATATTGAAACATCACTTGAATAATTTACAGATCCTTCAGGGTTATTATTCCAATTAAAAGATTATTACCTTGCCGATAGCTTCAATATTCCTTTTAATAATATGATACCTATCTAGATCCAGTCGAGGAATTCTTTATTTATATATAATGCCAGTGAATTATATAGAAAATAAATATATGCGTCAGCTAATAACAAAAAAAACCATTAAGAATTGTATAAAGACTTTTTTACAACAATTTAGAATCCCTAAATGTTGTTTATGATTAAAACAATAATTATTAGGTATCTATGACACATAAAAAATGATTTGTATTAATTAACAAATATAATATTATATCTAATATATATATATAAGCAAATAATATGAAAACCTAACATTCATTTTTTAGGGCCAGAATTATTAGAGGAGGGGGGGGGGTCAGAACAAGTCCCAGTTTGCACCACTTCGTAATAATGGCATTCTCTTTCTCTAAAATATTAGTGAGCCTCCTAATTTGGTGAACGAGGACTTCAAAAAATACTAATTTCTGTAAAACTCTTATATTGTATCCTACAATTTGTTTACATACAATATATTTATAAAAGGTTAGTAGAAGGTTAGCCCATTCTCAGTGAAACCCCAACTATATAATAATATAAAAATGGACGCAAAATTTAATTTTAAATTTATCCTTCTTAGTATTTTAATATTTATAACATATACCTGAACCGGGTCGAATTTTAAAACAGAATAATTTTAAATTTTCCTATAATTATCTACAAAAATTTTAAAAAATTATTATATATTTTTAAAAAAAATTTAGACCTGGGTTTTTTTAATATCCGAACCGGTCCAAAAAAAATTTAAAATCCGTGCCATGCAAATGGTACATCTGCAGGTCTCCGATTTATATATTATTTATTCTAATACATAAGAGCCTTATTGAAGGAAGGGAAAGAAGGAAGGAAGGGAAAGAAGGAAGGAAGGAAAGGAAGGAAGGAAGGAAGGAAGGAAGGAAGGAAGGAAGGAAGGAAGGAAGGAAGGAAGGAAGGAAGGAAGGAAGGAAGGAAGGAAGGAAGGAAGGAAGGAAGGAAGGAAGGAAGGAAGGAAGGAAGGAAGGAAGGAAGGAAGGAAGGAAGGAAGGAAGGAAGGAAGGAAGGAAGGAAGGAAGGAAGGAAGGAAGGAAGGAGAAGGAAGGAAGAAGAAGGAAGGAAGGAAGGAAGGAAGGAAGGAAGGAAGGAAGGAAGGAAGGAAGGAAGGAAGGAAGGAAGGAAGGAAGGAAGGAAGGAAGGAAGGAAGGAAGGAAGGAAGGAAGGAAGGAAGGAAGGAAGGAAGGAAGGAAGGAAGGAAGGAAGGAAGGAAGGAAGGAAGGAAGGAAGGAAGGAGGAGGAAGGAAGGAAGGAAGGAAGGGAAGGAAGGAAGAAGGAGGAGAGAAGGAAGGAAGGAAGGAAAAAGGAATGAAAGAAGATGAAGATTGGATCATGTTTGGCGTGAAAAGTGAAAACGTATAAATTACCATATTTATAACGATTTATTTAAACTTCAATTTTTTTTACAAATCTTTTTATAATTTTAACATATTATAATCCAAATAAAAAATATAGGTACAATATTATATTAAATATTAATACTTTAAAATCATTTTAAAAAACATACAACCTTTCTTCTTATATTTTTTTTCAATCATAATAACCGCAGATGTGTTATCTATAATATATATAGATATTTTTTAAAAATAATATGGGAGTAATTGGGTGAAACCGAAATTAACGAGGGGAACCATTCAAGATTTAAAATATTTTTTATCTAACATCATTTTAATCTATCCATCGATTTAGGCTCCCAAAACTCATTGACCGGACCCTCTAAGGGTAATATCGTATTTGATAAGGCGTCGAATAATTTATCGGATTGAGCGCGTATTTTGTTTTGTCTAGTGGACTTTGCCGAATCTATCGATGATGAACTCTGTTTTTTAAGTATTTAAGATGATTATATAAAATTAATTTTCTCTAAAATTTTAAATGGCCGTCTAAATCAATGATATGTATATTAATTTAGACTTGACGATTAATTTATAAAACTCTAGTGAGCGCGAAATTCGCGGCGAAGTATATAAGAATACACAAAAATAGAGCTATGGCAACTCTCAATGCACGGTAAGTGCACCTACATTGAAGTCAGCTGCAGATGAGACATCATTGAAAGATATTTTGTTTAAAATCATTTTCTCGACCATTTTCTATAAAATACTTTTCATTGGCCGACTTCAAGTGTATGGAACTTTTTAATTCACTTTTTAATGAATGAACCCTCAGTCTGGGTTATTATTAAATTCCAAGATTTTTCTTCTAGATTAAATAGAATAACAAAGTATATATTTATATCCTGTTTTAAAGGTATCACATGACCTTATGTCACGATCGATAAATTTTATCATTTGACATAAATTAAAAAAAAAAAAGAAGTTGTACTAACTACTTTATTAAGAACGAAATTTTAACAAGAGTTAATACCCAACACCAGATATCTTCAATATCGGGTGCTTAGTTTCGCGCGTATAATTTATCCGAATTTAAATTTCGATTAAAGTTTTATCGAGTATTTGTCTACAATACCAATATATAATATTTTCTCAACGATTTGATTTTTGCCATATTAGACATTATTTTTTGTATATTATGTTTCATAAATAAATTATTTAATAGTTGGTTATCAACAGATATGTTTTTTATTCTTTAGTTGCAAAGTATAGTTGGGTAATGGCTAAATGTCGATTAATTCGGTCCATTCTTCTGGCAATGCCTAAATGTCGGCTACTGGCATGCCTAAATGTCAGCTAATTCGGCTCATTCTTCCAGCTATGCCTAAATGTCGGCTAAATCGGCTCATTCTTCCGGCAATGCCTAAATGTCGGCTAGTTCGACTCATTTTTCTGGCAATGCCTAAATGTCGGCTAATTCGGCTCATTCTTCCGGCAATGCCTAAATGTCGGCTAATTCGACTGCTTCTTCAGGTGGCTGCCGAAAAAAATCCGTTAATATTAAGACGTTTTAATTTATAGTAGTTTCTTCCAAATTTGAACTATCTTTTTTTAAAAAAATAACCCCCGAGGCCAAAGTGATAGTTTTAGCCTAAAAACGTGGTATTTTTAACGGATGTTTTAGCCGGCTAAAAATATAGTAATTACCCAACTAAAGTTACAAATTACTTCTAAAAGTAATTAGTTCTACCTATTACTTGTAAATAAAA